TAAGATAACAAAACACGACGTTTCGGAAACTGGATCTGTTTCCGTCCTCAGGTGAAGGAAAAGGGAAACACCTATTCTGTTGGGTCCGTTAGAAAGAGCTAGCCTCAATCACTGGTCCAGAATAGGTGTTTCCCTTTTCCTTCACCTGAGGATGGAAACAGATCCAGTTTCCGAAACGTCGTGTTTTTGTTATCTTAAAAACCAGGACGATGGATAAAGTCCAGAAACCCAATATATCAGTGTGTTATACACCATCATCGGAATCCTATAGTAACTATCCTCAAGCAAGCTGCAAACACTTTCCTTGACACACTCACAAATAGATTCTCTATTATTAGAGTTCTTCTGAAAGTCACTAGAGTAAGGGGGGGGGAGTAAAGCTATCCTTGTAAAATGCTGTGGAGGTCCATAGGGTTGCGAGACACAAAGGCTCTCACATTTTCTAGAAAATCAGCTCACAGATGGCAGTGAGGATTTCAGCCTTATGTGCTGGTTGGCTGCCCCTTACCCCCAAGAAGATTCCTGGTACTCATTTCTGTTAGAGGCTGAGTCAAACCCAGGGCCATAGTGTGGGTGGAAGGATTAGGTCAATTGAAAAGTCCAATGACTTCATTGGGAATCAAACCCATGACCTTCCAACTTATAGTATTTATTTTCAAAACTAATTTGATATCACTGATTGTGTATCATATAATTTGATTCAACTGTGTCGAAACATTTCCCTTACCTAGTCACAGAAAGATATTATATTTTTACTTTTGTATACAGAAGGTCTTAAAAGAACAGATTGTTGCTGTAAATTTGAATAACCCTCATTTATTAAAAGCCTCAATTTATTATGAGAAAATAAGAAGCCAGTCCCACCAGAGATTCAGTAAACAGGATATCACTGTATTAATATTTTAGTCGTCTGGGTTTTATGAATAATTCTGAACATCAAATATGCATTCATTTCTGCCAATACACTCGTATGATTGAGCTGACCATGAAGATGTCATAAACTAACTACACAACAGCTGTATATATTGCTGGTTTAGTATCTTGATTATACTTACCAGCACAGTTCACAACACAATTGGTCATGATGGCTCCATATGGAGTAACCACTCCATATACCTCCGGTGTTCCAAAATCATTTTTCCTTGTCAAGATATCAGACACAGGGCAGTTCTCTATCACCTGCAAGTGTGTCACACAGAGTAAGTCGTCAAGCTGTGTGGATGACTGATTGATTCTTTATGTATTTAAGGACACTGTTTCGGCTGCAGAGGCTATACGATAAGGAAGTAAATGATTATCAATGACAGAAAATGTTGGCTGAAGCAGTAAGTCTGATATGTTTTCAGGAGCTGTGTGGTTTGAGTCTTGACCAACGGGCTTACTATCTCGAGTTAGGTTTCCTGTTTCTCTCCAACTTTCCAGAAAAATTCTGGAATAGTACCTCAGATTAGGCTGTGACTATTTCCTTCATCCTTCCAAATTCATCCAAACATTCAATGCTATTCAGTCCATGATACTGATCATCTCCTTAAATAAAATACAAACAAATAAATGGGTTATGAGCAGGAATTCAAGGCCTGTAAGGAAATGGACACAATCCATCTCAGGGTACTATTCCAGTATTCACTTTGAAAGACTCAGAAATACCATAAAAATTCAGTCAGGACATCTTGAAAGTAGGCCAGGACTGATGAGATATCTCCAAAATGTAACTTCAGAATTATACAAACCTGTTTGAAGCTACAGTGGAACCTTGCTTAATGAGCATAATTCGTTCCAGAATCTTACTTGTAATGTGAAACACTCGTTAAGCGAAACAATATTTGCCATATAAATTAACGTAAAATGCGATAATGCGTTCCACCACGAAAAAATACTCAAAAAATTTTATGTATAATGTTTATTCAAAGAAAATTATATTTACACTGTTAAGGAGTGTGAATCATCTTCATCTTTTCTTCTATGCGGAATGAACCAACCTGCAATGTGAATATGATTTGCAGAAAAAAGAAATTGAAATAATTAGTTTATTATTTATGACATATATCTAATTCTTTTTTACTAGAAAGCTGTCTAGAGACATTTGTTTTTGCCCATGCTTCAAAATTTGGTGAAAATGCGACACAGCATTATCATTAAATAAAGTTGTAGCGCGTGTAGCCACTGCCTTATTAGGGTGATGCTTCTCAATGTATGATGCAACAGTTTCCCATGCTTTNTTACACTGTTAAGGAGTGTGAATCATCTTCATCTTTTCTTCTATGCGGAATGAACCAACCTGCAATGTGAATATGATTTGCAGAAAAAAGAAATTGAAATAATTAGTTTATTATTTATGACATATATCTAATTCTTTTTTACTAGAAAGCTGTCTAGAGACATTTGTTTTTGCCCATGCTTCAAAATTTGGTGAAAATGCGACACAGCATTATCATTAAATAAAGTTGTAGCGCGTGTAGCCACTGCCTTATTAGGGTGATGCTTCTCAATGTATGATGCAACAGTTTCCCATGCTTTCAGCATTTCTCTTACTGCGCCAGAAGATTGTTGCTTTGCTGTTACCTCCTCCACCTCCTCCTCCTCCTTCTCCTCTGACAAACTCTCCTCCACAACTTCTTGCTGTGAAACACAATGCAACTCCATAAGCTCTTCAGTGGTCAGCTCTTGGCTGTGCTTTTCCACAAGCTCATCGATATCATTGTTATCCACCTCCAGCCCCATGATCTTGGCCAAAGACACAATCTCCTTAATTACAGGCTCCACAGGTACTATCTCAAACCCCTCAAAGTCACATTCAACAACACTCTCTGGCCAAAGCTTCTTCCAAGCAGAAGTGAGGGTACTCTTGGTAATCCCTTCCCACACCTTTTCGATCATCTTGAGGCAGGCAATGATGTGGAAGTGATATTTCCAAAACTCTCTGGGAGTGAGATTGGTCCCTTCAGTCACCTAAAAACAATGCTCAAAGAGTGCTTTAGTGTACAGCTCCTTAAAGTTAGAAATAACCTGCTGGTCCATAGGCTGGAGTAACGGTGTGGTGTTGGGAGGCAGAAACTGTCTCTTCATGAATTTAAATTCCTCAAGGAGGTCATCTTGTAGGTCTGGAGGATGGGCAGGAGCGTTGACCATAACAAGCAATACATGGAGTGACAGATTCATCCCAAGCAAATATTTTTTCACAGAAGCACGAAACACTTCATTGATCCAATCAGTAAAAAGGTCACGTGTCACCCAAGCCTTGTTGTTGGACCTCCACATCACATTTAGCCTGCTCTTCTGGACTTTACACTTCTTGAAGGCTCGTGGAGTTTCTGAATGGCAAACAAGCAGAGGTTTAATTTTCAAACTGCCGCTTGTATTGGCACAAAATAGCAGCGTGAGATGGCCTTTCATTGGCTTATGGCCGGGCAATGCACTATCCTCTGCTGTTATATAGGTTCGCTTCGGCATCTTTTTCCAGAAGAGACCAGTCTCGTCACAATTAAAAACCTGTTGTGGCAGGTAACCCTCAGAATCTACGAGCTTCTTGAAGTTGCTGATGAAGTTCTCTGCTGCCTTTGTGTCAGAGCTTGCTGCTTCACCGTGCCTTACAACGCTGTGGATGCTGGTCCTTCTCTTAAACTTCTCAAACCACCCACTGCTTCCCTTAAATGCTTCTTCTTCAGCTGTTGATGATCCTGGAGTCTTCCTAACGAGGTAGGCGAAAATCACTTTTGCCTTCTCACAAATGATGTTCTCGTTAATAGTGTCGCCTTGCAATTGCTTTTCGTTTATCCATATGAGGAGCAACCTTTCAACATCATCGAGAATACGTAACCGTTGCGTAGATATTCTTGTCACTCCATTTGAGGCATCTATCTCCTTAATCTTGTCCTTGTTCTTGAGGATAGTGCAAATCGTTGATGGAGAACGCCTGTATGTGTGTGCTAGATCAGCCAAGCTCACACCTCGTTCTCACTTTTCAATGATTTTACATTTCAGTTCTACGGTTATTTTTATTCTCTTATGGCTGTCTTTTTGTGGCTTTTTCTTCAGGGACATTTTTGCAAGGGTTATTAAACTTTGCACAAAAAAAATCACAAATAATATATCTGAACATAAGTTTGGAAAAATGTGTGATCACAAGCGACACTAAGATGCTAGCAGAACGAGTGCTAAACACAGACTGATGTAGCAAGCACACAATCCGGGACTTCCCTTCTTGTCACTCGTTATGCGAAAAGTTGCTCGTTAAGTGAGTCATTTTTTTACAATTTTTTTGCTTGTTATGCGAATTACTCGTTATGAGAGGTGCTCGTTAAGCGAGGTTCCACTGTACCTTCTATCAGACATCACTGTTTACAGTGTGGAAATGTAACCTGCATACAAACCTCAATCTGCCGTCTCTGAGCCGATTGTCTAGAGAAAATGTCAGAGCCTCAACGTCTCACAACCCTATGGGCCTCCACGTCCTGTTACAGGGATAGCTTTACTTTTACTTAACCAAGAAGTTCAACCCACTGAACCTATCATTTGCTGTGGAAAGCAACTGATTTTTTTATACTGAAAAGTGACAAGTTAGAATTTTTGTCATGACACTGGCTATCATGTTTCTCCTTCCTTTTCTGCATTACCTTCAGGAAAATGCCATGGCAGTAGGTCGAACCTCATCACACACACTCACTTTGCAATCCATTATTCACTGATTGTCCTATGATTCACATTTATATGGTCTGAGATTCTGGCATCATTAAATAAACCATAAAACTGTTATGCAACAGAACTACTTTGGATTACGTGCTTGTCGAAATGCTCTAAGAGGGACATTAACAGTCCCTCTCAAGTTATGTGACACAGCAAAACCTCCTGCTGCCAAACATTAAAAAATTACAGTGAAGTCGGTTTCACATATACTTGTGCTCACAGAAGAATCAGACCTTGGGGAAAACAATGTCAACATACATACTGAGCTCGAAGAGGCCACAGTTAACTCTTAGTGTCTGATAGATGGCACCATAGTCATAAGATGACCTCAACAAATCATTTGCTAACACATGTACACACTTTTACATTTGGGTAATATTAACTGTTTCGACATGAAGGTGAGGAAAGACAGAAGGGGGAGAGAAATGATAAAGAGGAGGGGCAGATAAAATGGGATGTGGAAGGATGAAGCAAGAGGAGAGGACCTACAAACATATGGACAAATGCAAGAAAAGGAGGAGGATAGAGAGGGGAAGATTGTTTTCCCTAGAGACTAAAGCTACATATCCCATAACGAGTCACGATATAATGAGATTGGTAATAAGCATCCATTATGGCAATCTCACCTATGTGTTGATGTTTGAAACTTAGTGCTATAATTACAATGGATTCAATCTGCAAACGATAGCAACTAATGGGACTTCTCATTGAATTTCCAATTGGCACTATACTAATTAAAACCTAATTAATAATAATTTGCAACCTCATTCAATGCAAACAGTTCTAAACACCTTTTCACAATAATGGCAGCTTACATATCATAATTTAAGTATACTTTAATGCAAATATGCTACACCTAAAAGTAAGCATTAAAGTACATTAGCCACAAATGGAGAATTACCTTCCCTCCTCTGCTGGTGGCAACTTTTGTAAGCGATGTGCACAATGTCGAAGGATCAACAACTCCATCACCTGGGGAATATAAACTGCCCACAATGACATCTGGGTTGATCAATGGAAACAACTTTTGAGTTTCACCAGGATCCAGGATGTGTGACTCGATACCAAAGCTGACTCCAATGGTGGAAAGTCGACGATATTCGTTCATACGTTCCTAGAAAAACAGCATTAAATAACGCTTTTCTGTGTGTGCGCTGTGTGTATATGAGTAGGTACACATCTGTGTAAGTCTGTACCTGCTTGCTTGTGTGCACGCATGTATAAGGGGGGAGATGTGCACATAATGTATAAAAGGCAATATTGTGCTCAACAGAGGCAATCTGGTTTCAAAATTCTGTCATAAAATCAACTTTCATTTTCTCCCCTTAACGTCTATATATTATAAGCAGGGTTCAACAAACCCACTCATCTCAAATTCATCATGAGCGGAGAATGGGGAATAATCTTTCAGTGTATTTGTTAATATCAATGCCTCATCTCCTTTCTTTTTTTCTCACAGATGTCAAACACTAACACTGAGCAGCGAATGAAGTCCTGTGTTCATATCATATGATATAAGTGATAGTATTTTACATATCCTGCATGTAACGTAATGGTAAGTAGGCTATCTTTATTGTCTGCATCCTTTGTGTCACGTGATTTTTGGCCGTCAACACAATAAATTTCTTCGATCAAAACCAATCCAATATCACTGTATTAGCATTAGCTTTACTTTAGTGTCTCGTACACATTTTGATATGATCATCACTGGGCACTTTCTTAAATACGTGCTTATTAATGAATTGTCCTAATATGGATCATATTAGTATTTTTTTTAAATTGATCAATTTCTATATCTCGTCATAACACACGCCGCTATTTTGATATTATAGTTAACCTTAGGGCTAAAATTATTTAAATTAATATTTGTGTCTCATCGGTACAATGTAAGTTTCCATGATGCTTGTCATATAATAGAGGGAGATAAAGTCTTCTGGGGATCGTTAATGTTTGTATTATGTTAAGGATGATTACTCGGGTACTACTGCTGTTTAGTACTGTAATTCTTCATGATTTAATTATGTAACATTGTGATTGAAGTTATATTCTCTCTGGAGGGTGTTTGTATGCTTCTTTTGTGTGGATGTTTTTCTTCCTACAGATCAATGTTGTTCCTGTTTTGCAGATGCTAAACCTATGTCAGTACAATGATATTGGACTGGCTTTGTCTGGAAAAAAAAAAATTGTTATGCTAACGGCCAAACAAACCATACGGTAAGTGAGCTGATTTGCAGAAATTATGACAGTGTGACCAGGAGCTGTTTCTCTTGTGGGCAAATGTTTAGTGGACAGAATGTGTATCAGACTGATGAACTTGCTGTGGGTTTTGAAGCACTGGTAAAGTGACAGGACACGTGTATCAACATTGGTGGAGCATATGTCAAGAAATAAACGTTTTTTTTCTGGGTTTGAATATCACACGTTTTACATTTTATATCCATCTGTGACCTATTTATGGACTCTCCCTCACACTTTTAATACGTATTATGAGGTCAAAGATAATTGAACAAGAGGGGCCAAACAAGCCTAAATCATTAAACTATGCTTATATTTCCTAACTTGTTGGCTCATATCATTAAAGTGCCTTATTACCTCATTATACGCGATGAATATACCACCATTCATAATCCAACCTGGATCAAGCCCCGTCTCTGCTTCCAGCTGCATGAGAACATCTCGGGTGTCATTTAGCAGTAAAGTGTCTATATCATTTGGACGTAGCCTCCAGACACACCCAGCTGTGTGCCATGTAGTGCCAGATGTCAGTTTTGCTCGCTCTAGGAGCACCGCCTTAACTCCACGTTTTGTCAACTGGTACAATGTGTGGCAGCCCTGACTGCCCCCACCTGAAACATGTAGCTGTATGTGTAACTCTGGCATTTGGGAACAGGCTATAAAACTACACTAAAGGCTCCTGATTACCCCTGAGGATAGTAAGTGAAATATTTGCTGAAACAGAAATCATTCATCATTCTAAAGATTATTCCCTAAAGTTGAAGTTAATATACATTACATTCCAGCTGCAAAAATGAAAGGGCAAGAATGTTCCAATTTAATTTTAAAACACAAAATTTTAACAAGAATTAGATTTTACAACAAGATCATAAGAGGTTAAACAGTTCCATCCAGTGTGACTAGTAAAGATTTCCTTATTTCAATCCTTCTTCCCTCACGTGTTTCGGTCTTTACAGACCATCCTCAGAGGGACATCAATACAATTGGAAGCTACTATTACAATATGTTTTTGAAGGTTAAAATATATATACATATAATGTTGATAAAATACAATGAATATAAAATTTCAAGTTTTTAACAACTACAGCGGCTGTCTTAATATGTTAAAATATTTGCAATTGGTTTGTTAAGATTTTTCTTGGAAATTATAAACCAAACTGGTTTGTGTCCTATTTATTATTTCTTCTCTTGAAGGGGGCCAAACGGCTGCCACCTTGTAGTTCTTGAGAAAAGGATTCTTTAAAGTCATCCCGTTGGTGTTCGTGGCATGCTGTGTTGTTATAATAACTTCTGAACATTTTATGGAATTGGAAGATTCATCACTGTGTTCGTGACAGCCTTCCACTGTTCCTTATCCTCAGCCAGATCAATCCAGTTCATATCACCCAATCCTATCTAAGATCCATTTTAATATTATCTGCCCACCTACATCTTGGTCTTCCTAGTGTTCTCTTTCCTTCTGGTTTTCCCACCAATATCCTATATGATTCCCCTTCTTCCCAATTCGTGCTAAATGCCCTGTCCATCTCATCTTCCTTGACTTGATCACTTTAATTGTACTTGGCGAATAGTACAAGTTATGAAGCTTCTCATTATGCAGTTTCACTGAGAACCATAAATCCAAAGAAAAAAGTCACAGAAGGTAAAATTGCATTAACTGAACACAAGTGGGCCAAATTTTCCCCTCTCCTATGGCAACACCCCCCCTCCCCACACACACACACACACACACACACACAAGTCTACTTCCACTTCTTCTCACCTCTCTCACCCAGTAAGCAAGAAATCTGCATTAAAGTAAGTGCTATTAATTTGAAACAGTCTAAACTAGTTGATCGAATTAAAGCAAAATCACATTTTTTCGAACTTGCATTTAACAGGGAGCACAAGTTCTATGCCTATGAATGTTTAAATGTCATGACTGTCTCCCAGTGTTATTCAACTTGAGTTCTTTGAAGATCTATTAGTATTTACCTATAATGACAACATCAGCGCTACCTGGAACCTCCACTTCTGAAGACTGCTCACTCACTACAGTGCGGCACTTTACATTCCACAGCCTTCCATAACTGGAACTGGCTCCCAGATGAACTGGGCTGATCTACAAGACAAATTGCTATTTTTATTTACATTTATGCTTTATTTAATATGACACTGTCAGTATTTCAGACTACACACAACTGAATTGAAAGGTCAAGGTGAATAATTATTTGGAAAACACAGGGAAGAAAGCCAATGTCACCTGACTGAGGTACTATCCCAGCATTTGCCTGAAGGGACTGAGGAAAACCTTGTTGAGCCTGTCAGGATAGTCAATTATTAAAGGTAAAAACTTGACCCTGTGCTTAACTAATTAAGCACTATGCCATGAAGGTGTGCGGGGTAGTGGATGTATAGATCCACATTTTCTTGACCTTGGCACTAGCTGGAGGTGAGTGAACAGCTTCAAGCTGCTGTAACTTTACACCACGAGTTGGCGGGGGGGGGGGGTAAGAGCCTCTGGTAACCATTTGAGAAGAGGCTGGGCGGACCCAGAGCCAGTTTGGACAACACAGAGAAGAGAAAATTCTTGCCCCTGCCGGAACTCAAACTCCGACCCCTTAGTTGTCCAGCCTGTAGGGATAGCCAATTATTACTGAGAATAAACAGGCTTTGGTAATCTTTGCATATGTTTACAAAACCAATGCTGTTCAAAATCTTCAACTTCTGGACCTAACATGCCCAAAGTTTCTGAGAAGTCATGGTAGGCTGACAAGAGAGGCACGGCAGGATTGGATAGGTCTGCAGCTGTGTTAAGCTACATACAGATATCACAAGCACTTGAAGGTCTACCATGCTTCAGGAGTGTGAGAACATGGTACATGACAACATCTGACTAAACTTGCAGGGTTAAGTAAGGATGAGTTGGATGATGCTCAGATGAACTAACACTTGACTCCACCCATCATCCGTCATAGGTTATTGGTTGTCCCTGAATGTGAGGTTTTACTGTTTTGTGTACAGGGTGTAACTCAAAGATGGGGGCAAACTTTGGGCACAAATTCCACAAACCAAAAACAAGAACAAATGTCTATATTAACATCTGTCCTTAAACATTTATAAAAAGTGCTCAAGACAGCATTCTCTCAGCTATAACTAACAAATTAATGTTCTTGAAAACATATTGACCTGGACATTCTTTCTTGTTTTGGTACATGGAACTCATGCCCAAAGTTTGTCTGTACCTTACAGTTACATCCCCTATATGTGAAAAACAGCAGTTAACAAATACACAATTCCCTGATGATGGAGGCAGACACAATCTCTGAAACGCTTGACTTCAACTCCAAATTGATGTTGCATGTCTCCAAAGAATGCCATTACCATAGACTTTATTATTGCAAGAGATGATACACATTACATTAGATATAAAGATAATGGTTGAAACTGATTTCCATTCCAGTGCTTGCTTGAAAGAAATAAATGAAAATAAGGAAATTAAGTCAGGACAACTGGCTTTACAGAATAAGCATGACAGGCCTTTAAATTAACCAAGTTTTAATTGAACACTGTTGCAAATCTTTTAACATTTTGGAACTTACTTTAAATATATATTTAGATGAACTTTCGAAGGAAAATATTGAGCTGTATACACTCTTCTATTCTAAACAATTCTGTACAGGAGTCAGGATAGCTGTCAGTATGGTGACGGGCTATTGGCTGGTTTCCCAAAAGTGCAGGACGTGTCCCTTCCCCAATTCATGCAGACTGACCCTGGGGCCCACCCAGCCTCTTATCAAATGGGTACCAGGGGCTCCTTCCCTGGCGGTGAAGCAGGTGGGACATGAAACTAATCAGTGACCTCCATCTAGTGCCCAGTTCAAGAAAGGTGGAGCTATACCTCTACTTCCCATACATCTTCATGGAACAGTGCCTAATTAAGTAAGTACAGGGACAGCTTTACCTTTTTGTTCTTTATTGGAGAAAACTGCATAATGAGGAGCTTCATAACTTGTACTCTTCTCCAAGTATAATTAGAATGATCAAGTCGAGGAGGATGAGGTGGGCAAGTCATGTAGCATGAATGGGGGAGACAAGGAATGCATATAGGATATTGGTGGGAAAGCTGGAAGGAAAGAGACCACAGGGACGACCAAGGCGTAGGCGGGTGGCCAATATTAGAATGGATCTTAGAGCGATAGGATGGGATGTTATGGATTAGATAGATCTGGCGAAGAAAGGGACCAGTGGAGGGTTCTTGTGAACACGGTAATGAACCTTCAGATTCCTTAAAATGCTGGGAAATTCTTGAGTAGCTGCAGAATTGGCGGCTCCTCAAGTAGGGCTCAGCTGCATGAATGAGTGAGTGAGTGAGTGAGTAAGTAAGCAAATAAGTAAGCATTAATATTGTGACATGTTGACCCCTACCTCCCCAGCGGCACATAGCGGTAACGTAGCGCTCACGTAATAGGCGAGTCATCACCCCGCCACTCTCCCCGCAGTGACGTCACGAGCGGAGCCGAAGTGAGCCGAGCGGAGGCAGAGTTAGCCGAGCTCCCGCAACCTTGAAGCTATGCAACGCGAGCCAACAGCGGTGACGTCACCAAAGGGTAACAGCGTTGCTAGGCTATACGCCACGTCACACTAGCAACAGCGAATGGAATAAAAGCCGGCTGAGCAGCAAGCGAGAGTCAGTGTGTTATCAACGAGTTCTCAGTTCGCAAGTTACGAGCTACAGACGCGTGTGCGAGAATCAGTGATAGTTCTTGATAACCAGTTTTATTTGGAGTGTGTAATTCAGAGAGACTTGTATAGCTCCCGTGTTATTAATACGTGAAGACTCTTGAAGATAGTCTTAAGAGATTTTGTTGTAGGGTTTGTAAAGTGTGGAAACCCATAACATTGTGATAATTAATTGTAGCCGATACTTGTAGATTGTTAAATAAACCAATTAACCATCTCTACGGCGTCTTCAGTAATGAAACACGCAACACTGGTGTCAGAAGTGGGATCTGGACTTACACACGTGACCAACGAGATTCGATCTCAAGACACGTTACACTGGTGTCAGAAGTGGGATTACGAACTTAAACACCCCATATACGAATTGTTGTGCACGTTACAATATGTATGACTGATTCTTAATGGAGGGAACTGTTCTTCTCCTCCCAAACATTTTGGCGTACTTACATAATTCTCAAAAATGTCAGAAACAAGTAGTCCCCAAATTAATGCATATATATAGCTAACCAACAAATTCAAAACTCCCCAGAGGACAATTCTTCAAAAGCAACAGTCACCCAATTAGCCAACAAACTCTCTTGCCTTTTAAGGAACATTAATTACTATGTTCACAACAGCCTGCCCTGGTCCTTGTTCTGGGCCAGATAAATCCAGTCCTTGCCTTGTTACTCTAGTTATTTTTAACATCTATTTTAATATTATCCTCCCATCTATGTCTAGGTTTCCCAAGAAGTTTCATCCATTCAGGTTAATGTCTACCACAAAAAAATTAGAATTCAGTATTACCTTACTTATTTATTTATTGCTAGTGGGGTGGGAGTAAGTCCGTTGTACTGTGGCCACTTCTGGCCTATTGTACCAGCCCCAGATGATAGGTGAGGGTGATTGTGGAGCAATTGGTGGAATGAAGATTGGCAGGGGAAACCGAAGTACTCGGGGAAAACCTGCCCCAGCGCCACTTTGTCCACCACAAATCCCACTTGACCATACCTTACTTGCTGCCAACCGGAACATCATGTGCCACTATATCTTCTTCTGGCACTACCTTTTAAAATTCCTACATTGCCTAAAATAAAAATCAAAGGAGAAACTAATGAAGCATTTTAACATTAAATTATGAGCTCTGAGATTTATCACTGCATCTATCATTGAATAAATAAGATCAAAATACATTAATATCTTCATTTTATCTTACAGCACATACAAAAACACAGCACATGTCTCTGTCAACTTCTTGCCATTATAATAAAATCATTGTGGATCTTCCTATACTGAGTTATGATCACATATAACATGCAGACATTTATACAGGAAAGTCTGATTTCACAGCTGCAGGGAGAATTAATTCAGTGATATTCAATGGCATTTATGGTCATTGTTGCAAGACTGACCTTGCAAAATTTGTTGCTTTTTTATAACACAAAAACTAATATGACAAAGTCACCAACTGATCCCAAATTTGACTACAAATGAGCAATTTGAATTCTTTAATTGATATAATATGATTTTACACATACCTCTGCTTGCCACATACAGTACAGCTGGATAGTGTTTGAAAGTGTCTCATAATGTACTACGTACAAGAACAGCAAAAGATAACAAAATCACTGAACCCTTGCACATGCTGGCTCTTTTCCTTCCATCTATATTCCTAGAGACTTCTTTTATTCATGCTGTATCACCACTCTGATTATATAAATTCTTTGTTACATAACATCCCTAACATACAGTGTAACTTTACAAACTCAGCCAATCACTGCAATATTACAAATTCTGCTAAAATACAGCATTACCAACAATACAAAACAATTCGTTATTTCTTTCTGTGCTTGGTCAATCAGTGGCCTCCCTGCCGAGTGGACCCAGCTGGACTTCGCCCCCCCACTGAGCGAATTTAAAAATTTTAACCCAATGTGCTGGCTTATGCCTCTGGGGTTGCGGTGAGATATAGTTCAGTGTTTAGCAGGCATGGTTTTTATGTGCGTTTATGTGTAAGGTCGTATACTACGGAACATCGGTTCATTATGTTACACTGCAAAATTCGTGAACATGAGTACAGTCATTGAGTCTTCTGCGTAATCTGACTGTTTAAGGCCTCGAAAACTGCCTTGGAAGCTGAGAAAAATTTAGTTACATCACCATGTGCTTTGCACATCTGGACTTATCCTACTGTACATTAATACGTTATTTCAAATACACGCATTTTCGTTTACATTTACAATTACATGTTCACTCTTCTTTAAAAATTTAATGTAATGTAATGTAAAAACTCAGAGGAAGTTATCAAAGAAAGAAAACAAAAAAGAGAGGAAATATGGGAAGAGTTCTACAGCACTGATGCAATGACTGACAGAACCTGGACAGGACCCAACAGAAAATTACGACACACAATTACTAGGTTGGCAACACACGGATTCCACCACAAGATATGCAAGAACGAACGTTTCCACGAAGCAAATGACGCGTGTGTGTGTGTGTGTGTGTGTAAACACTGTGATAAAAAGTGTAGTAGATACCACATTACCATATGCAAAAACCTAACAACATCAATAACCGAATACAGTCGCGAATAGAAAACAATTACTCTATGCACATTGTGCGCATTCCCTTATTATAATGTAATGTAATGTACGATTACTGGGTTATGCAGTTATTAAAATATTATACTATTACGGCCGCTAAAATGTGGGAGATGGTTTGCCTCTTTTCCGCCCTTTAAAATGAGAATAAAACACAACACAAAAAGTAAATCACAAATAGCACATACTGACTTACCAATCAGTGACTCATCTTCACTTGCAAGGTTTTCAAACCACATACGAAAATGCTTGAAGATTTCATGCAAGGCATTACGATTTTCCATTTTTTACTATAAATGTCTTTGTATATGTTCCGTATTGATGGACGCTATACAGTTTCTGCTACACATTTTCAAAACACTTTTACAAATCTCCATCTCAACTTCCTGGGCAGGAGTTATAAAAAATTCGGTAAGCATGCATCGACTTTAACGTCTGAGGTGGGAAGTTGTAGACGGGGTAGTTGACGAGCTTGACGAGGTTGACGAGCGTTGAAGAGCGTGCTTACTTCGCTTCCTAGCGTCGGCACCGTCGGCACGGTCGGCACTGTCGTTCCGGGCCCGGGCGTTCCTGCAGGGCTCCCTCCCCCTTGCAACCAAGCGTGTAGTTCCTATGTGCGCATGCGCACGTATTGTAGAAGTATAAAGAAAGAATTTAAGAAAAAAAGACTCATTATATAAATGTTATCGATAATATCAAGTGGAAATTGGGGGTGCTGCAGTTCCGCAGTGCCTATACACGGGCTGCCCCTGAGTATAACCAATGGTGCTCAAAACGTGTAACTTACTAAACGAAGAATGCAATCCTAAACTTGTTGGTTGATATATCGAACCCCAATTCCTAGTGTCCATGTTTTAAACTACGTTCTTTATGATACCTTTCCAAAATTTAATGACACTAACATAACACACATAAATTCAAATTAAATTCTGATGTCTATAACATGAATACTAGACAAAAATATAACTTCCACCTACCCTCATCAACTTTATCATTATATCAAAAAGGAGTCTACTTTACTGGCATAAAAGTGTTCAACAATCTGCCACTAAGTATTAAAAACTTGGGCAATGATACTAAAGAGATTAAATAAGAGTTAAAGAATTATCTACATGCTCATTCCTTCTACTCTTTAGATGAATACTTCAATGTAAATAGAGAATGATGTAAAATTAAGTTATATTAATTTTTAAGCTAAAACTGTCTGTGCTTATGTATGTAACCTTTAGACTTGTTCTGTATCCAAAGATACTAACCTGCTTAGGATTTATAGAATGTAAATAAATTCAATTCAATTCAATACTGTTATTTTGAGATATTCGTTGGTTTTCATACATTGTCTAGTTTGAAGTATGCAGTTCTGGAAGTTCCATTGTTTCAGACACTGACTTCCTCTGCTTCTTCAAAGAGGCGATGGGATGTCTGAAGCATAATTTTTAGAATCTTATGTCTTAAATCCTATAATGGATGAAGCCCAAATAATGGGCCATGATTTTGTTTTACGCGTTATTTAATATTTTGTGGAGAATATCCACTGCTTATGTTCTTTTGTCTGTCAGAGCCCATGTTCCAGTTGTGCACTGTATAGAAGAAATTACATAAGTGTGACCTGTTTGGCTGGATGTGCATAGGATAGGATGCTTTCTTACCGACAGTGCTCTCGGCACTGACGTCGGCCATCTGATGTCAATAGCTGAATATAGAAGGCACAGTAGGTTGTGATGACGTCAAGGGGTCATCAGCTAAGGTTCCACGGGAAACCGCTATGACCGCTATGAGTCGTGCATGTTTGGCAGTTTGCCAGTTAGTTTGCAGGTGTCCAGTAGTAGAGGCGTGAAGGTGTCCTCTTTGTCGGAAAAAAAGCCGATTTTCATAACGTTTTCAAGATTTGAGAAGCTCCAGAGGAAAAAAGGTATATATTACTTGCTCTGTGTTGCATTGTGTATTAGGATGTCACTTTTAGTGGATGTATTCTGTTGTTTGAAGCCCCGTGCGTAATGAGTCCATAAACCACATATTAAACTTAAAGATGTCAGTTTTGACGATTATGTGGAGGATAAACAACGAATAATTTCAACTTTTTTATAATCGCTAGGATGGTAATTAACAATACGACCTACTTAGCGGAAATATACTTCGTTGTTGGGCAGTAAAATTTTGAATGCCCTGATACACGTAACGGTTTCCATCCCAGGCCCACAGACATGTCACCGGTTGATCGTTCATAAAATGCAAAACGTCGGGCTGTCTTTGAATTACACCTTCTTATAGCCCAGAAGGCACATTCTTTCAGAGTCCTCATATCGAACATGGTTCTAGTATTTTAACATATTTTCATTGTTTATTCTCATACACGACCTACTGGTGTATAAGATGAGCTGTGAGGTTTTGGTCCATTTTAAGGAAGAAAAATCTTGGGAATCCAGAAATATAAGAGTTTGTTTGCCGTGAAGCAGGTCAACCTCAGATTGCTGCAGTTTCTGACTTTGATAAATAGTTTACTGTAGAGTTTTTTCAGTTTAAGAATTCCGTAAAATAGTCATATGTGGCGTTTTAATTTTTCAGAGGTGAACATAGATATAATGATAGCATCTTTTTAAGTGTACTGTCTTGAAATGACGTATTTTTGCCAATTAGCTACTTCGCCACAGAAATCATTTTTTTAGAAAGTGGTATGACCGTGGTCTTTGAATATGATGGATCTAATGAGTGTGGACAATTTTGTGATTTGCTCATTGTTTATACCATTTATAAGTAAAGTATGTTGTTTGACTGTTTTCCTTGAAGTGGATCAGTTGAGTGGATGAGGCAATGCTTTGAAGCTGTCTTGTGATCCAGTGAGGCAAATTTTTAGAGGCCAGGGCTTAGTTATGTGCAAGTCAGAATTATCTGTGGGTCTTTCTGGCACCACATGAAGTCATGAAGTTGAAGCTGTTTAGAATTGTCAAGTCCAAGAGGGTCAGTTCCACGTTTGGTGGTGTATCGAGTGATCGTGTGTATTTCTGTCCCTATTTGCAATATGCCCATTAGTTGCTATTTTATGATAGTCACAGAAAGCGAGCCTCAGAATGAAAGAGTTTGTGGACCACTGTCACTGACAGAATGTTTTGTTTCTTTTCCTCCAGATGGATGCAGCTTCAGGAACGACCGTCAAGCGTCTGCCAAATGGATACATATTGTTTTCCAAAGAATGGCACAGGAGGCTGGCAGCGCAGTATGCCACAGTAAAAAGCAGCAAAATTAGCATAAGGTAAGCAGCGACTTTCACTGCTGATACAGATTATAAGGTGGCAGGATAGCTGAGTGAGTATAGTGACGGGCTTTGGCTCTGGATATCCGGGGTTCAATTGTGGGCAGGGATGAAATATTTTTCTCTAGTTGAAAGCATCCTGACTGGCTCTGAGGCCCGCCTGTGTCTCCTGTGCAGTGGGCACTGGGCACTATTTTTCCAGGAGGCCAAGCTGCCGGTGCATGAAGCTGACAGGCCACTCACCCCTTCCAGTGCCAAGGTCCACAATTGTGGAACAATCCCTCCGCTCCCCCATATGTCTTCATGGCATCAGCTCTTAATTAAGCAGTTACAGGGACAACTTTATCATTATTATAAATTATTTGGGCGATAAGAAATTAATGTATTTTTGAAATGGTTCCCGATGCACAGAATTTTAAAACGGCAAGGATAGTGATTAACTGAAACNGAGCTGAGTCTTCCGAGAATAACGTGCAGGAGAGTAACTTTGATGCAAATTATATCAGATCAAGTAAGAGCGGAGGCGCTGTGTTCAAATGGCGATCCTTCTATTTTATTAAAATTACTTAAGTTTTTTATATAATATTAGATTAGCAGCTGGTGATACACATGAACTTGCATATATGACTGTAACGACATTACCATGCCTTCAGAATCAGACAAATTTTCAAGCCTGTACAACGGCCACCCTTATTATTCTTGCACCATGAATGTATTTCCTGACTTGTTTGATATGTGGTATATTTAATGAAATGAAAGAAAGATGAAGTTGCCCTGTGCTTAATTAAGCACGTCACCAAGTAGACAGTAAGAAAGAATATGTGTATATTTCCCCGCATTCTTATGAGCCGCTTTCGCTCTGCTACCACTTGAGCCGATTACGCTCTGCTACCTTTTGTGCCGTCTTACGGTCTGCTACCACAGCACCGCCACTCTCTGGCACCTTACGGCTCCGTCTACCCTTCCTCAATCGGAGGGGAAACGTTGATCCGTCATACGGCTCTCGTGCTGTGCTCGCACGCTCCCTAAGTTAGTGTAAGGGATCCAAGCTAGCGGCGATATAACTCTAGTTACAAATGATGGCAATCAATATATTAACAAATAACAGAATTTAATAAACA